GGGGGGGGGGGGGAGTCAGAAATGAAGTAATAATGAATTAGGAGGATTGTAATCCATAGCTGGTATGACAGAAGGTGTGAGAGCCTATGGGAAAAATAAAGCCAAAAGGACTGGTGGCATTGGTCCAAGTGGCAAAGAGCCCTCCCTGCTAAGCATGAGGTCCTGAGTTCAAACCCTAATGCCACCAGAGAGAGACAAAGATGGAGGGACAGGCAGGCCACAACATTGGTGACACCCTGCACTACCATGGGAACTTGCCAACCAAAGGCTGTCCCCAAATAGAGCCACTCAACCTTGGAGTCGCGCCATGAGGTTCTAGCCCCGTTTCTTTATAACTTCCCCAGTATTGTGTTATCAGCAACAGGACTGAGATTGCACTCAACCCCTCTAAAAAGCCGCGGGCATTCCAGCTTCTGGGGAACGTGGCTGCCATCCAGTTGGGGAAGGGCTGCAAATGGAAACAGCGCTCACTGCCCGGGAGGCAGCGGGGCTCTCGTTCGGTGGGTGGGTCTACGTGACTCAGGGCCATAAATTGAGTAATGACTTTCCATAAGGAAAATTGGATCATGAGTTTTCGTGGCAGTGGTTTTGATTATATATATCTAGTGATGTGTTTGTGGGCAGCCCATGTATCTCCCTCCAAGGAACACCATGTTCTGTGAGTCATCTCTGCAGACTCCCCCCAACCTTCAACACACACACACACACACACACACACACACACACACACACACACACACACCTTGTTTCTGGTACTTTCTGACAGCCATCTGCTCTCTGCTAGCCCAGTGGTTTTCAAAAGTCTATTTCCCCAACCAGCAACAGAAAGAAGCCTTGCTTGAAACCTATTAGAAATGAACATTTACTAAGCCAGGCACCAGAGGCTCACCCCTATAATCCTAGCTACTCCGGAGGATGAGCTATGAGGATCACGGTTTGAGGTCAGGCTGGTTAGAAAAGTCCACGAGACTCTTAAGTCTAGTGAACAAGCAAAAAGCTAGAAGCAGAGCTGTGGCTCAAGGGGTAGTGCAGTGGAATTAAACTGGGAGACAGGGCTCCGGCCCTGAGTTCAAGCTCTAGGAGAAGCACAAAAATAAATCAAATAAATAAAGTCTCTATTCTGTTGATCTATCTACTGACAGTTTATTTCATTGACTCAATTATCCAACATTGAAGAGGTAGGGGGGAAAAAGTGTTCATTTCCCCACAAGTGAAAATAGGGAATAACAAACGTATATCAACATGATAGCATTTCTCATCAAGCACACTGGCATGATTTAAATGACTTTCACATTCAGTGTCCTACGAAGTATCTCATATACAGTCAGTAGGAATTGCAACCTTTTGGATGAAGGAACCTTCTGGAAACTTTGGGTAGAGGACCAAATACATATACCATATAACCCAGGCAACTCACTGATGGTCGATCAATTCAAATGATGTATATTCACTGGTGGGACTTGGAAAAGCAAGTTGAAATGGTATAGCATACATATGGTATTTATTGTGTAGTCAGGCCAGCTCTAAATCATTTTCAAGACTCACTTTAGGAAAGCTTTCAAGCTAACCCAATGAGTCCTGGTTTCTAGGCAGAAAGTGTGACCCAACAGGTCACATGACAGGTATGGGCATGCCAGGATCAGACTGCAGCACTCTTACTGCAAGTCTGCCTTGGTAAACCTCTAAGATTTTATATGTTGGGCTCGTGTGTTTTTATGTGTGTCATTTTTTGAGTTCTAACTTTAAGA